GTAAAGGTCTTTTTTTTTTTGAATGTTTATGAATCGGTACAAATTGAACTACAGACCAAGTTGGTGCACCTCCAGGAATCACCTCTGTTTTATGGACGACATGGGAAGTAACGAAAGAGTTGGCAGTTGGACCTTTCAGATGGATTTTCCCTGAGGTATTTGTTCGTTCTTGGAAATAAGGATGCGGGGGGACTGTTTGGACCAGAAATATCTGACTGTGCAAAAGATACAGCCAGTTCGATACAGATCTCCTTCAGTTGTCTCTTGACCAATGAGCCCATTCTGGAAGAGAACTATCCTTTCTGTGTCGTGTGGGATCCATTTAAGCAAGAGCTGTCTGTTTTACTGAGTCATGTTGGAGACGCCCTTTGCTTTCCAGTGTTTCCTTTTTTTAACAAGAAATCAACTATCCTTTTTCTGGACAGCCGTTTACCATTCTCTGTGGCATCATTTGCTGGTAACGTTTCTGCACTTTGGAAGAGTCAAAGGTTTTGCAAGTAAACCCAAATTAGACATTCAGAATAATTTCTGCCAATTAGGTAATTTTCCTATCCTTACTTTGCATAGTTTAAGCATGGCTTTCAAACAGAATGCCACTCTTCCTAGCAAAGCCAGAAGACAAAAGGGGAGTAGAGTTTGTAATCTCCAATGTTAGATCCCACATGTTACTGGATTACAATTCGCAATGTCTCTAACTGTTAGCTGTAAAGTCTAGGTTTTCTGGGAGTTGAGGTCCAAAGTCCAGTCCAGCCCCATTCTAAACTAGCACATGGGTAAGTTCTGAAGGTGTTGTTTTTTTTCAAAGCGCAAAGCAAAGCGTGCTGCTTATTTACCGCCCTTTTTTTTCAAAGCGCAGAGCAAAGCTTGCTGCTTATTTACCGCCCCATAACACTTCAAGCACTCTCTGGGTGCTTTACAAGTTAATTCTGCAGGCTACATATTTCCCCCCCCCAACGTGAGCTGGGTACTCATTTTACTGACCTCAGAAGAATAGTCCCCAACCCCCAACGTGAGCTGGGTACTCATTTTACTGACCTCAGAAGAATAGAAGGCTGAGTCAACCTTGAGCCAACTCCTTCGGGGTTGAACCCCAAGTCATGACCACAGTTTAACCACTGTTCCATGAGGCTTTTCAACTACAACTCCCAGAATTCTTGGGTCAGGATTGCTAAGGAAAAGGAAATTGCTCCAGGTGCCAGAGATTTTACATTCACAGGTGTACACATCAGTATTACAATTCCAGGCTGTACATCTAAGGGAAGAGAAAGGAGATGTTTCGTTTTACTCAAAGTCTAGGTTTTGGCCTCATGAAAACAGAATACGATGCCATCGCCTCTCCTGGACTTTGCAACTGCGTCCTGTTTCCATTCCATGATTTTCCTATATTAGGAGATTTCTCAGGTTTTGACAAAGGTCATCAGAATGTAAAACCATGCAGAATCCCTAGGTTTTCTGGGCAGGAGCTGAAAATAATGGAGTAAGGGCAGACAAGGACTTTCTCAATATTTTGCAGGAAACATGCAGGAATGCAGTTTGTGTGACTGCCCCTGGTGAAGAAGACTCCTTTGTGTAACCATTACAGTGAAGAGGAATTCTGGCCAGGATTTTTTTTTCAGATGATGTGGAGCCAAGCCTTAAGTCTTCCGATACTGTTGCCAAGATTTTATCTGGGCCTAAATCTCATTAGAGAGAGTAGACCAGAAAGTCAAAGAGCTCCCCTGAAGAGGTTTTATGGAAAGGAGAGCAGCAAGAGGAAGAGACCATCAAGGCCAAACTCAGGAAAGCCATCATAAAGTGCCATTTGACGGCTTGATCTTAGGCCATTTGTCTTGTCATCCAATATGGCTCTTTACTGGGGGAGATTTAAGGGTTTGCTTTTTGCACACGGCTAAAACCACAGTGGATGGGAATGGTTAAAGCACAGGTATGCCAGACAGATGAGCTGCCAAAATTTACAAGCAAGTCTGTTTATGAGAGTTGCATGGTTCCATACTAGAAATTGTTTCCAAATAATCTTTTGTATTACACGTGTGAGGGAAATATAAAGCGAATGTGTTTGAATGTTATCCTGGGTCTAGTTCATACACATGGACAGTACATACTGTACCTTGATACCTTGCCGTTGGTACTGTAGACTTGAGGCCTAAATTCAGATGTCAGTCCCAACTAGATTGGAATCATTGATTTACCAAAACCCCAATGATTCAATAAGGTGTGTTCTTGTTGGGACAAACAAATGTATTGAGGCCTTGATGACTAGCTGCTGAAAGTCTGGCTGGTACGGAGAGTAGGAAAAGATGTTAAGAGATTTGAAAGCTCTTTTTGTGCAATCAGATGTATGCTGCCTTGGTCACCAGCGGAAATTGAGGCAATAATGCCAACCAGTTGCTTCTGTATGTTTGATAAATAATTATCAGCACTAGGCTGAAGAAGAAGCTTGTGCTCTAGCCAGAAAGTTCAACTCAAAAAACCCCTCAGTATGCGCTATAGTTTCCCATTCCAAGATTCTTAAGGTATCTTTGGTAGGCCACTCTCTTCTTGTATTCTTCCAGGTAGATCAGTGATACTGTAACTTCTGTGTAAATAATAGTCTAGT